GAGGAAGGAGATCCTCGAGGAAGGAGCCTTCAGCTTACGCATTTGCTCATCGTCTGTTAGGGCTTTTTGTAGACTGTGAGCAAAAATATAGGAGTAGATCGTGCTGGAGTCAGTTTGGTCTTCTTTTATATATAGGCTCAATTACATTATCCAATAAATTATATTCCTTTTCTTACTCTGGTTTGTAGAGTTCAAGTGTAAAGTAGGATTTAGTAATTATTATCATAAATCTTATTTTAATGATATTCTCAGTAGTCTCTTCTTCAAAAGAAATTGTGTCCTCTAAGTAACTAGTGTTATTTTCACATCGAAAAGGCTCCTGACAGAGAGACATAGGTGCGCATCAGACTTTAATCCAAGCCCTTTAAAGGTGACTTCTGAGTTTTGCAACTTACTTCTCCCACCCTCCTCATAGGAAGAGTATGTTTCACATTTCCCTTTTATGCGATGTGGCCGTTACAAGGTGGTGAACGTTGTAAGCAGTTTCATCCGTGGCAGAGGTGGCCATGCCCCTGGATACGGGAATTTGTGTTTCTCGTGTGAGGTTGACGCTGACAGCTGGGGCATTAGACGTCTCGCTCGTGCGGCACAGGAGGGCAGCGCGGGGCTCTGTGGCGGCGGCGCGCGGGGCCCTGGTCGGTGCGGGGCCTGCATTGGCGCGGGGCCCTGGTCGGTTGGTCGTAGCGCGTCCGGTTCGTTCCCGTTCAGGCCGCTCGGCCCTTTCGGTGGCGCCTCTTCAGGCGACAGGAGCAGCCTGGGAGGTGTAATCCTCATTTATTCTTTGCCTCCGTTTGTTAGGCTTGTAATAAATCTGACAGTTTAACAGGCCTTGTTTGGAAGATGGCCTGCGCAGATAAGAGATAAAATGCACATTATCTTCTTCTGCATGAACTCTGGGTGATTAACTGGCTTCACTGGCGCTGGGGATCCGTGCGGGAAGGTTTGCTCCGTGTGCCGGGCTTCTCGATGGCGTCTGAGGAGTGCAGGAGCTGCCACAAATCCTTGCATTTGATTCATACTGCAGGTTTTTTCCCACTCCGTCTCCTCCTTCACGAGGCCTCTATTTTTCCTTTTTTTTTCTCCCCTGCCTTGTGTTTTATTTTGGGCTTACATTGTTTGAATTTTCCTTTTTTTTTTCCCTTGGAAGATGAATGTCTTGTAAAAATATCATGTTTACTATTGCTTTATAATTAGGCTAAAAAATCTCTCTGTATATTCTAACAGAGAGGAGTTTCTGGTGGAGGATGTGGAGGAGGATGTGCTGGCACAATGAGAGCAGAAGTGATTGTTTTGCTACTGATAACAAGAAAGAATGAATTGAAACCTCTTTCCAGCTCTGTCTTTGCAATCTCCCAGCATCTGGTAGAAACTAGAAAGGTCTCAATGGCTGGAATTGCCAGCATGTGCTCTCTGCAAGTGCATTCATATAATTTTCTGATTTTGTGATTTACATTTAACAGTTGAAGGAATTAGGCTGACCTGCGCCTGAACACATGAATTTTTGAAGCTCAGGCACCAGTGCTGATCATAAGTCAGCAAGTCGGGCTCCTACTTAGTTATAATTTTTTTTTTCTTTTTTTTTTTTTGGGCAAGTTAGGAAAAAAAAAATCTGTATTCCAATGAAAAATCTGCTACCAACACCACAGGCAAACCACCAATCCCATAGTGTGGGGTATTATGTTTCTGTTTTGGAGTATGCTACAACTCCCAAACAACTTCACAATAAGAAAGGCAGCGCCTAATCTTGAAAGCTTGTTCGTTCTGGAAGGCATTTTCCTGCAAATAAATACTGTTTTTATTATGTGCCATAATGCCATTAGTTCGTTAACAAAAATATTTCTTTCTTCACAATTCAGTAATTACTGCCATTTCTGGTTTTATTAGTTCCTGGTTTGGTAGTCCGTTTTTTATTCCATGCCAAACTAAGTAAGCCTTATCTGCTTCTTCTTGATTTGGTTGCCAAATTTTGTTTCAGAAGATCTGTGATGGAGCATGTATTACATTTTTGTTACTTTTGAAATGCTAGATGAACAGATCTGTCCAATATTTTTTTATCTTTATTCTTTCTAGAAAATCCTAAAGAGAGAAATAAAAGGATCAGAGGAACAGGGTGAATGCTATTTTCTGATCTGAGGTAGTTTCCTGGAGGGGATGAACAGGCCCCTCAGAACAACCCCAGTTTGAACAAAAACTTTTGAGCCTCTGATTTGTCATTCTGCACTCCATGGCATCAGTTTTGAATTGCCACGTTACCTGGTAAAGTGTAAGGTTTGCAAATTTGAGTTTCACAGTCTGGTCTTGGAAGCTGTCAGTGCGGTACAAGAGCCTAAAAATACTTTGAGCAACGTAACATCTAAATTTCTGTTAAAAAAAAAATGTGTATTATAAAATTATGAGTAGTAATGATTAACCAAGAAAGTCTAGATAGATGGATAGAAAACTCATGAAGAAATTGGGTGGTGCTCATCTCTTGGTCAATCTCTACCTGTCTTTTTAGTTCTACTCAGCAATAGGAGACATGACTTTAGTGCCTTTCTTAGCTCAAGTCTCCAACCCCTTGCTTTTCAGGAGAGTATTGAAACCACGTGTGTAAACTAATCTGACCGTGTTTTAAGATTCCTCCCGCATGTGAGGGTTGGTTGCTCTTGCCTTCTTTGCCTCATAACCGTCAAGTTTCAGCAAGAAGGTGGCTCGTGCGCTGGGAGCCTGTTCTGCATGATGGAAAATAGAGGCTCAAAACCCCTTTGAGAAGGGGGAACTGAATCTCCATCCAAACAGCCATTTCTGGCTGTTCATAATACGATAGTATGCAAGAGCAAGGCGCTAGGTTATCACACCACAACTTTTAAAAGATCGTTCCTGCTCATCCTCCTAATTCAGAGGATTTGGGTTTCTGAATTGTAAGAGAACAGCAGAACTGTATCCATCCCGCTAACCATTTCAGTAGGAGTTGTCTTGCCCGTATCCTTTTGCTTCCTAGTACTCTTACTGGAGAATACCAGGCAACTTTCCTTCTGGGTCATGAGAATCTTTTCTGAATGGCCCTCGAAGTGCCCAAAAGCTCCTCTGTCCTCCTTACCTAGCTCTGCAGGGACACCTAAAACACCACAGCTGTAGAGCTTAAGTTATAGATATTTAAGCTGTTGAATGTGTGGCTTTTGTTGTTGTTGTTGTTTGGTTTTGTTCTGTGTTTTTTTTTTTAAATGTCGGTATTGGGAGAGGAGAAAATGAGCGGAGCTGGTGGTAGATTTCCAGAGAAACTTGGTGATGAGTAAAAAACCCAAGTAACTCATTATAAGAACAAACTGATAATGCTTCTGAGAAACAGGTTTAATGGTTCAGAAGTGCAAATAATAAAAAAAAACCTCTTGGTTTAGCAAAAGTTTTGCTAGCTTTAACATGGGGAGAAGGTCCTAGTTTCAAAATAGTGGTCTTGTTTTTTTCCCTTACATGCAGAAAGATGAAGTTTTGGTGCTAGTGAAGGGAGGTTGGTGTTAATGCATCTTCCAAAGGCTCGTGTCACGGACACAGAGGATTTCCTGCTGGGTAGTGTCGGTGTGAGGGGAGGAAGAGTCACGCTTTGTATGTGTGAGCTTCGGATAAACCCCGAGTCCCACAAAAATGCAGTTCTCGTTAAAGTTACGTGGGAAGAGCAGGTGGGGTAACTCTCCAGAACTCCCCTGCTTGCTTTTCTGGGATGGTGGGGTGCAGGGAAGCTCGCTCTGAATGCTCACCCAGACTTGAACTGCCCCTGGTGAATGTGCGAGAGCCCTTCTTGAACTGCTCTGCTTGCTTGTCTCTGGAAAGATGCTGGACTGATCTGCATTTCTCAGGTGTCGTTTGGGAAGCCTTAGAAAAGAAGGCATTCCCCAGCTTAAGTTTTCTTCTGAACTTTAGGGCACCATCTGAGTCTCATTCAGCATTCACATGATCTCAGGGCTGTGCTGCTCTCATCATGATCACTGTTTTTTTTTTTTTTCTCTCACCCTTGGCTACTGAAAAATTATGGTTTTAAGTACAGTAAGGACTTACTGCGAATGCTCAGCAGGGCAAGCAGTGAGCTGAGATAGGCAGTTGTTCAGAGTATTGGGCATCCCGGGCTGCACGAGTTCCGTGCTCTGCAGCGAGGCGGGTCGGGGCTGGTGCGAGGCCACGGGGACGTCCCCGGCCGCGGAGCTGCTGCTGCTGCCTCTTCCCATCCAGCCCGACTGCTCTGCTGGGCTGCAGCACCCAGAAGTTCTTGCTCTCCTGCAAGTGGGTGGCTCTCAAAACACTGGCGGCATGTATATGTGTACATCTATGTATATGTCAGTGTGTAAATATATATATTCACACCTATATATGTATGTATATGTGCATACACATATTCACGTACAACAGAATAGAGAAGAAGATAGCGCAGGTATTATCCAAACAGGCTCCGTCACCATTCCTGTCAAGACCTTGTGAATCCCCAAAGGGAAGAGGAAAGAAAATGCCAGTCTTTCTGCTCCCTGTCTGCCTTGGGCCACCAGTTTGACAGGTCATTTGGAAATGGATGGGAACAACCGGCAGGTTCATTTTCCTCCCACTCTTTATCAAAAGCACCCGGTGAGTTTCTATTCGAGATGCAGTTTAGCCATCCAGAGGCTGCATCTTCTGCAGCCTTGTGAATTTGCCCTCTCCCGCCCTTCTTAAGAGCAATAACTGAGCAAAGGGCTTCCTAAAACATGAGTTTAGGGCCCAGTGTGGAGCTGGCACTGGGAGCAGACGTGTGGTTTTAGTTTTAACACGTGGTAGCTTGATATGTTATTTTCCTCATGAAATAGATTAAACATGTAAAATACTTGTCAGTTGCTCAGCGATACCCTGGAACAGGCTGCTCAAAGAGGCTGTGGAGTCTCCTTCTCTGGAGATCTTCCAAACCCACCTGGATGCCGCCCTGTGCCACGTGCTCTAGGTGTCCCTGCT